GTGGGGGGGGGGGGCTCTGCAACATACCCGGCTGCTTATTGCTCCTTGTGGCCCGGGGCTGCTGGGAGCAGGGTGCGGGGCTTGTTGCATGTGCCCACCCCCTGGACTCTTTACTGCCAGAGCTCCGCTCCTGTGCGCTCCTGCAGGAAATGACCCCTGATCAATGTTCCCTCTAGTCATTGAAATAGCATTGCTGTCAGATGGCCCTCTAGCCTCTGCTTAAAAACCACCAAAGAAAGGAGAGGCCACCACCTTTGGAGGAAGTCTGTTCCGATGGGGAACTGCTCTAACCATCAGGAAGTTTTTCCTAATGTTTAGCTGAAAACTCTTTTGATTTCATTTCTATCTGTTGGTCCTGGTCCGACCTCTTGGAGCAACAGAAAACAACCCCATTCCAACCTTGTATATTACTATGGAAAATGGAGAGTATTCGTCACTGTGTCTTCCAATGTCGATACTCTCGCAAGTTCAGATCTGTGTCGCTACAATTAGTTCAAACAGTGTAGGTTGGCGGTTTGGAATGCTTCGTTCCTCTTGCTGTTGGGACAACTCGGCACACATTCAAAAGAAATTGACTTCTTTTTTCTCCCTTCAAATATTTGCAGGTCACCTTTCCGCTCGCTGGAAGAATTGAAACTCTCTGTACACACAGACACACACACCCTCCGCCATCTATCACATCTTTCGTTTGGGGCTGGCAGAAAGGCCGAAACCCGAGTGTCAACGATGGGAAATGAAAAGTCGAGCGAGGAGAAATCAGCCCCTGAAGGAAAGAGAGCCCTTCAGAAAGCAGAAATAGAAAATCCGAGAGAGATAAGGGCCCCTAAAATAGAGATAAATCAGCGGAGAATCCAGTGCTTTGCCACAGAAGGGGAGGGAGGATGGGACCAAAAGAAAGCAAGACTGGAAAGTAAGAAATCTGAGGACATGCCATTAAAAATGTACCCACAGATCATCAATAGATGTGTCAGTGAACAAATCTGTCCATCAGCTCATCCGGGAAGGCTCCGAGCATTTTGTTCCGGGAGTGTTTCCCCTGCTGGAATGGGAAACTAATCTGTATCATTGCCGAGGAGTCTCACAAACAGGCATTTTAAATAACATGTTTCCTCGACTGGCTGCTGAGAGAACAGCCCTCCTGCTTCCGATTTCCAAGCAGGCATAGAAGAGATAAGTGGTGGAACGTGGAAGGCGGGGAAAAGGTTTTCCGTGAATGGGATCAGATTGGCACGGGTGTCCACTGTGAGGGGTAACCAGAGGAGCATCATCTCCCATATGTTCTTGCCCAATCGGTAATTAATAAATTAATCAATTGTTCCTGCCCAGGAATTAAGATCACAGGGAACGGCCCTAAGAACATAAGACGAGCCCTGCTGGATCAGAGCAATAGTCCACAGAGTCCAGCATCCTGTCTCAGGATAGTTGTGAATTGTGAAGGAGGGAGTTGTGAATTCCCTGCATTGGGCAGGGGGCTGGGCTAAAAGACCCTGGAGATCCCTTCCACCTCTATGATTCTATGAGTAACCAGATGCAGAGAAAGCTGCACAGGATCGGGCCCTTTCAATGGTTGTGTAAAGAGGAATGTTTGGTCCTTGCAGCTCATCCTAACAGGGGGGAGAGCTGCAGAGTAGTGAGAAACTGACCTACCTTAGTCAGTTACGGTCTACTCTGCTTAGCAATCAGCTCTTGTGGTCTCCGCCAAGAGACATCAAACCCAGCTCTGCTGACTGAAAGGGTTTGAACTGCAGCTGCCAAAGACTGAACCTGGGACCTTTTGCATGCAAACGCATGTGCTTTCCCAGTGAGGCTGCTTGCCTGGTCTCCAAAGCTGGTGAGAAGGGGGGATTGCTGTAGAAATTACCCTTCTATCTGGTCACCAGTGTTCCCCACTAAGCTGAGTTAGTGTGAGCTAGCTCACAGATTTTTAGCCTCCGGCTCACACATTTTTGTCTCGGCTCAGGAAGGAGGGCTCCAGAGCAAACTAATCCATGCAGTAGCCAAATTGCTCACTCACAACTTTCATGCCAGTAGCTCACAAAGTAGAATTTTTGCTAGATAACAAGCCTTAAGCATATCACGATGCAGAAAAAAACACCAGAGTGTTAATTGAGATCAGCGTCCTACTGAATCGTGATATACTTAAGACTTATTATCTAGCTTCTATGAAAATGAGAGCTTTGGCACTTCTATAAAACTTCCTGAAGAAGATTCATTTTTGAAACGTTGGTAAATAATCCGGAGACGACGTTGTACCTTGGTTTATAGATTCTATTAAGTTGTATATCATATTGTAATGCTTCAGAGCATAATACATGTACAGCAATTCTTATAAGTCGTATGACTGTTGATTGCGGGTCAGACCCACACGACCGTTGACCTTATATTTGTTCTTCCAGGGAACAGTCAGGATTGATTTCCTTTAGGATTGACTGATTTAATCACCTTGCAGTCCAGGGGACTCTCAAGGGATGCATTTCTACTCACCCTTTATGCATGGACGCACAAAAGGTGTGCCAGTGTAGGTGTGACCCTGCAACTTACCGCATTGGGGGGGGGGTTCTATTTCAGGTCATTAGTTCTGGCCCTGTGATTGTCTGGACTCCCTATGGAGAAGGACCCATTCCACCCCTCCTCTGGCTGTCACATGGGAAAAAGTGCCGCGCTCCTTAAATCCCTTGCTTATCCCACAGAAAGCTATTAACCTCCCTCAGGATTTTGCAATGTGCTGCCAGCAATTCATTAGGAACCTACATCGGTGGTAATTAAACTTTTATCAGCGGCTTTGCCTAGGCCAGTAAGTTTACTACAGGTCAGTGCTGCTACATCACATAATCAGAACTGCAGCCTGCAGTCGGGCATCAGTGCCAGGGGTCATTTCCTGCAGAAGCGCACAGGAGCGGAGCTCCGGCAGTAAGGAGCCCAGGGGGCGGGCACATGCAACAAGCCCCACCCCCTGCTTCCAGCAGCACTCAGTCGGGCCACGAGGAGCAAGAAACAGCCAGGTAAGTTGCCCGCCATCAGGTACAAGCTCTCCCTCCTCTGTGAGGGCAGATCTGCGCGTTCCCCCCCCCACAACTAGCAATCCAAAAGAGTCCAGTGGCACCTTTAAGACCAAGTTTTATTCAGGTACAAGCTCTCCCTCCTCTGTGAGGGCAGATCTGCGCGTCCCCCCCCCCAATAGCTAGCAATCCAAAACAGTCCAGTGGAGCCTGAGCGGTGTTGCCTTCTGACACACTTCCGGTGATGTCAGGGGGTGTGGCATATGCAAATGTTATGCTAATAAATTACGCTAATGAGCTCCTGCACCTCTTTTTCTACGAAATGACCCCTGGGCATCACAATAAACTGTGGTTTACAAAAACCGTAGTCTGATTAACCCTCAGTTCACTGCGGCATCAGAATGCAAATAGTTCAGCTGCCCGGGAGTTGCCGGTTTCCATCAAACCAAGGATTGCAGTTTGCTTAGTTTAACTGTAATTTGTAACTGTGATTTGTTGCCATGCCTGTTTTGAACCAGTGCTAATTAGCTCAGCTTGCTCCCAGCTGCCGTGCCAGTCAGTACATAAACCTCCATTTGTGTCAGCAAGGTGCCAAAGGTTCTTTTTGCTCCTATACACATTCTGGTACCTGAGTTCTTCAATGTACCTGTCTGTATATCCCCCCCCCCTCGCTAGAGATGCGCTCATGTAACCATGCGCATATTTCCATAGTAACTGCATTCCTGTTAGACTACGCCAGTCCTGCTTTGCTGTAACGCTATCTTTCCAAGGTCACAGGTGGACGAAAGAAGAAACTTGCTTTGGTTTTAATGAGTAGAAACTGTGAGAAGCATTTTGTAGTGATATCACAGTTGCCGTTGCTTTCCCAAGGTTTGGGCGCGAGAAAACACATTCTAGGCGCGCGAGGGGAAATATGTTTATTGGCTGTAGTAATTATGAACCTGCTTTAACCTTCCTAGCTCAATGAGCTTGCATTATTCTGAACAGTGCTTCTGTTCAAGTGACTCATGGCTTCAATAAAGTAACCCTTTCTTAAGTGTCTACTCCGTTGTTTGCTGTGGGACCTGACATACTGTTCAGAATCCCATTATTCCTCATCTCAGCGCATCTATCAACCCCGATATGAGCGACGGAGAGGGGAAGACCATCCCTGACGGGACTGAACCGGATAATCCGGATTTG